CAACCTGACCGGGGCCGTCCCGACCTCACTGGAGCAGTCCCAACCTGACCGGGGCCGTCCCGACCTCACCGGGGCCGTTTCAACCTCACCAGAGCCGTTTCAACCTCACCAGAGGCCTTTGAATTGTTAGTGAAGTTTGGCATGCGAGTCTGATTTCACAATCTGACCCTTTGTGTTCTCTTGCTGGGTCACTTGCCTCTCCTGTTTCCCTTTTCATTACTCTGAACTGGCAGAAATCCTTTGGACACTGTTAGGCCTGGGTTGTACTCTCTCATCTTTGTCCTTTACTGGCAGTGAGACTTCAATCTGTTTACCAATATATAAGTGTTCTGAGACTTAGCTTCCCCATCTGCAAAATGGGGTTGCTAATAGTGAGATCTGGATTGCTTATGGGATTAAATGAGGGAAAAGTGGGTTGAGCAACTTACCCTTCCCTGCACTGGGGCAGGCACTCCTTTCCCAGCTGGAACCAACCTGGTGGGCAGGAGAGGCACTGTGTGCTGTGTCGCCCTTCACATGTCCTACAAGAGCTGTGGCAGGGGTCACAACGGTGGCTGTCTTCATCAGTGTAGTAGCCCTCAGGGCAGTCCTGCACACAGGTCATGTCTGCCAAGGGAGGAAAAGAGTCTCTTGGTATTAAGTATGGCACATATCTCCCAAACCTCCTCTGCATGCTCTCCACTGTGTACCATGGTGGAGGGGGGATGCACGAGGAATGAGACAATATCCTGTGGGCTGATGGCTATCCTTGGGAACTAAGATGAATATCCAAGAAATAGATTCAGCCATAATGTCATTAGGAGTTGAGAGAAAACAGAGGTCAGAGTGGACTGGCCATGTTGGGCATGATAGAAACCAGTGTGTAAAAATGAGCTAGAGGATGGAGGGGGTCTCCCAGGAGAGGGAGCCCATTTAAGGCAGGGGTGAGTCAGGGCTCCATTGAAGAAAGCAGAAAGTGTGATGATGTCTTCCCACAATCTCAATTTTCTATTTCTAGCCTTGAATGTGTTCTCTCCTGTATATCAGATTTTATCTTTTGTTCTGCTGTGTTGTCCACACACTATTGCTCTTGAAATTTAAATGAATTTAAAATGAAATAAAATTAAAACTTCAGTTCCTCAGTTGAATGAGCACAGATATAAAGCATTTTCATCATGACACCAAGTTCTGTTGGCAGTGAGACTCTGCTTTGCCCATGTATTTAAAAATTAAATTAAAACCTTAAATCTGCTCTGTATAGAGAGATGAATTGGAGTTGAGTTGTTTAGGCCCACATCACCCCAGTCCTTCCTCCCCTAACCCTAGTGGAGCTGCTGATTCTTGTCTTTTCTTCGTCCTTATTAATATTTAGGGGTGGAAATTGAGGGTGGTTTAATTAGAAAGCAAAAAGCTGAGATTTGCTGGCTTTGCAGTTTAGCACACGGTTCTTAGAGGCAACTTCTTCCCCAGCTTTACCTTAACCTCCCTGAATGGAAGTCAGGCTCTCCTGCATTTTTAGTTAGCCACTGGTCAAGTTTAGACTGGACCATAAGCCACTTTGTTTCCATAACTATAGCATTAAGCACAGGCACTGGTGGGAAAGCTGAATCATATTAGAGCTGCTGTGGACTCAACCTCTCTACTGGGAGACTCTCTGAGCTACTCGAAGGCAGGGCTATGCCATTCATGTCTGATTTTCCAGCACAACACACAGGGCCAGATCCCCAGTCAGTGTTTGTTTGGTGGCTATTTTGTTAAAGATGGATGTTGGCACTGGTTCATTGTCCAGCTGCTGTATCTGGTTAACTAGGGGGAAGCCTTAATCCCTTAAAGATGAAACACCTCTGTATTAGTTTCCTGTTGCTGTAGTAACATATTTCCATAAACTTAGTGGCTAAAAACAGTACAATTGTATTATCTTACAGTTCTGGAGGTGAGATGTCTAAAACAGGTCCAAGGGGGCTATTAACTTTCTAGAGCAGTGGTTCTCAACCTGTGGGTCGCGACCCCTTTGGCAGCCGAACGACCCTTTCACAGGGGTCGCTTAAGACCATCCTGCATATCAGATATTTACATTACGATTCATAACAGTAGCAACATTACAGTTATGAAGTAGCAACGAAAATAATTTTATGGTTGGGTCACAACATGAGAAACTGTATTTAAAGGGCCAGAAGGTTGAGAACCACTGTTGTAGAGGCTCTGAGGGAGAATCTGTTTCTTTGCCTTTTCCAGCTCCTAGACTAGAGTCTGCCTGTACTCCTTGGCTTATGGCCTCCTCCTCCATCTTCACAGTCACAACACAGAATCTTCTCTCCTTCTCTGTTCCTCTGCTCTGACATCTCATAGCCTTGAACTACTTAATGTTGATCATCCTGCCTCCCTCTTATAAGGACCCTTGTGATAATCCAGGATAATCCTCCTAAATCAAAACTATTAATTCAATTACATCTGCAAAAATCCCTTTTACCATGTTAAGTACATATTCCCAGGGTCTGGGGATTAGGACATGGGCATTTGTAGGGGGCTAATATTGTTTTTAGGAGGTTTAGTATTGGTCAGTCTACCACAACCTCTGGAGGAATTATCTGATTTATTCCTAGCCTGACCTTTGAGAGGGTAGTGGTGAGGGACGGAGTGGGAGGATATGAGAAGATCAGGCCTGAGCACATTCTATGCCCAGCCCTTGGGGGACTGTGTAGAGGATCACACAGTGTGTACTGTGTTATACCTTAGCACTGAAGTCTCAGTTCTAGTCTGATTCATATTCCTAGTTTAAGAGAAGACCACCTTGTAATGATAAGACATCTTCCTGTCTGTGTGAAGGCACCTGAGGTGGTCACTGGTAGCACTTTAAGTTGGGGATAATTAGAAAAGAAGGTCCTGGTGTTTGGATGATATAAAGATCTGGAATGTTCTCATGGAGCAGTAACTGTAGGGAAGAGAGGTCACTGAGATTTGTGTAAGTGGCACTAAAATGGATGGATGGAGAAGACTGATGTCTTAGAGAGTCTTCTGTTGGGAGGTGATTAGGAGTGATATGAGGAAATCTGCCCCTGTGTCTTACCAGGGGAATGGTGCCCTTGTGATGACATCTCAACAAGAAGAGGAGAAATTGTTACCTATTTCTACTCTGAGTGTCTTGTTTCTCAGTCTTCAGCATACTTGCCTCTTTCTTCTCTTTCCCACACACCTTCATTGCTCCTTTTTTCACTTCAGTGGAGTGCTGTTTCATTTTCTTTCTCCCATACCTGTGTTAAGCCCAATCATGGTATCCCTAAAAACTTGAGGACATTGCCTCCCATTAGCAATAACCGTCACAGGTGACCTGCTGGAGGTGGCCAACCCCAGACTGTGACATACTTTGTTCAAGAAGATATATTAATCAACAGATGCTAAATCAAGGGGAAATTTTGATGAGGTGATGAATATCTACATGCTCATAAAATGTCTCTTCACAGACTACTTTTTAATCACAAGGGAAAACAGTAACTGCAAAGTGGAGAAATTAGGCAGCACCCTGAACAGGATAATATCACTGTAGATGGGCAGGTAGGTGAATGTCATGTGTCTCCAGAAGGACACATGAGCTATGTAGTGTTCCTGCTGAGAATGCATAATCTCCATCTAATCCTGGGGAAATGTCACACAAACCCCAATGGAGGTTAGGACTGTGTTCTTCTAAAATGTCAACATTATAAAGGAAAAAGAGTCTGTGGAAATGTGTCAAATTAAAGGAGGCTAGGCCTAGCCAGTTTGGCTCAGTGGATAGAGCGTCGACCTGCAGACTGAATGGTCCAGGGGTTTGATTCCGGTCAGGGGCACATGCCGGAGTTGCAGGCTCGATCCCCAGTAGGGGGCCTGCAGGAGGCAGCCAATCAATGATTCTCTCTCATCATTGATGTCTCTATCTCTTTCTCTCCCTTCCTCTCTGAAATCAGTCAAGATATATTTTTTTAAAAAAAGGAGGCTAAAGAGACATGGCATCTAAATGCCATGACTGTGAACTGGACCCTGTATCTAAAGGGGAATTGACACAATTATAAATATGGATGGGATATTAAAGTATGGTATCAGTGCTAAATTCACTAGTGTTGACAACTGCACTGTGGTCATGTAAGAAAGCATTCCTAGTCTTAGGAAGTAAATGCATACTAAAGTATTTGTGGGAAAGGGGCCGTGTTGTACGAAACATATCCTCAAATGGTTCAGAAAAGATATGTTGTGAATTATGTATACATATGGAGAGAGAGAGAGAGAGAGAGAGAGAGAGAGAGAGAGAGAGAGAACAAGAACAAGACTGATAAAGCAAAAGGGGTAAAAGATTAACAAAAGAAGAGGTGGGTAAAGGGCATATGTGTGGTGTGCCATGGAATATTCTCACTTTTCCATCTTTTCTGTGGGTCTGAAACATTTTCAGACACAAAGTAAAAAATTAAAAAGACACCAATATCTACTGGGCACCAGGCATCATGAAAGGTAGTTTCCCAGATGGAGGGAAAGACAGAGCCTTCCTCAGAGGAAAGTGACTCACTGAGGAGGAGGCTGTCCCTCGGGCAGGTGTGACACTGGTCCTCGGAGGGCCCCGTGCAGCGGAAGCACTTGGTGTGACAGGGCTTGCAGCCCAGAGCCTCCTCATCCCAGTACTCGGAGGGGGCACATTCCTTGTGAGGCTCGCAGTCCCCGTGGCTGTTCAGCCTCAGGCCTTCCAGACAGGATGTGCAGGTCCCAGGTGAGGAGCAGGTCTGGCAGGAGCTGGGGCAATCTGTGGGCAGGGTGGGGGCAGCAGACTGAGAGTGAGAGTGGCCAGGGTGCCCCAGGAAGAAATCAGTTTCCCCTGGGAGGGTTAGTCACATGTCTTCCTTGTTTCTTCCAGAGATTTCTAGGGCTCTGTGCCAACAGTGTGGAGTCATGAGTTGGGTACATTCTTGTTGGAGCATTCTTGTTGCTGTTTCATATTCTCTGTAATTATTAGACCCTTCCTGCAACAGCCACCTCAGAAATTATTAGTAAGACTCACTATAAGTACCCAAACTACAATGAAATAAGAGGCAATTCTGCAGCAGAATGGTCACCATCATAATTCCTATTCTGTGGTCCTCCAATGACCTCCAAAAATACCTTGAGCTTGTCACTAGCATTGGTATATATTATCATTACCTGTTGAGTAAAGAGGTCTCTTTTATATTCATTTATGAATGCACAATGCCTAAGAGGGCCTGGCATATAATAGGCACTCGCTAAATATTTCTTAGATATTTTAAGAACAACATGCTCCCACCTCGGGGTTTTAGCAGTGCTGTTTCCTCTGCCTAGAATTCTCATCTCCCAGGTATATGCGTGGTTTGCTCCCTCCATTTATCAGTGGTACCTTCCAGGCCCCCTTTTCTCTAATTTCAGCTCCATTCTGCCCAACTTCATGTCTCCCTTCCCTGCCTTATTTTGCCTTTTGACTGTCTTCTTTAGACTCTGCCTTCACCAATAGAATGTAAGCTCCAGAAGGCAGGACTCTGTCTGTATTGTTTCCTGCTGTTCCACAGGCCTGAAGAGCACACGGCACATAGTAGGCCCCCAATAAGCACTCACTGTTTAATAGACACAGTATTATTATTATTATGATTATCGCCATCTCATTTTATCTGTATCAGGAAATTGAGGCTGGAGGTGCTAAGTCACCTGGCTGGAAAAGAGCAGGGTCAGGAGTTTAACCCAGGACCTTAACAAGATCTCTTGCTCTTTCTGCCCCAGTGCCTCAGAAAAGGTATGGGGATTTCAAAGGTGTCTGTGCTATCTCATAGGGCAGTGATGGCGAACCTATGACACGCGTGTTAGAGGTGACATGCGACCTCATTTTTTTGGTTGATTTTTCTTTGTTAAATGGCATTTAAATATATAAAATAAATATCAAAAATATAAGTCTTTGTTTTACTATGGTTGCAAATATCAAAAAATTTCTATATGTGACACGGCACCAGAGTTAAGTTAGGGTTTTTCAAAATGCTGACACGCCGAGCTCAAAAGGTTCACCATCACTGTCATGGGGGATAATTTGAGGTGATCAGAATGGATCCCAAGTCCTTATGTTCCTCAGAGGAGATCCTGCTTGGAGATTGCTTGATTACAGATGCTTCTCTGTATCTACTCAAATCTTAAGTTTCAGGTCAGGTCCTTGTTTTTCTCTCTGGAAAGGCAGGTGGTCACTTCTAATGCCAGCTTCCCTCCAACAGTGGAGCTGGTCTGAGTGAGCCCAGGTATCTGTACTTTTTAAAAGCTCTCCAGTTGATACCAGTGGGCAAACGGGGATGAGGACCAGGGGCCCTTCTCAGTGAGAAAATTAAATCAGGTAAATTAAGTACAGTAAGAACTCTGAGGCCTGTTACGTTCTCTATATGGCAAATTACTTTTATTATTGAGCACCAGAGAAAGGCCAGAAGTGGATCCCCAGTTCCTGCCCCAGTACAAGCAAGATGGCACTGCTGGCCTTTGGATGAGTCTCTACACTTCTCGTGGGAGCTGACCCCCAACTCCGCAGGCTCCCTCCCTCTCTCCCCTTCTGCTATACAGGCACAGCTGCCCATCTTCAAGTCCATGTTCTTCCACAAGTAGTTGGGTGGGAACCTGACATTAAAGAACGTACCTGACACACAAAAGGGTTTATCCGGATCATAAGGCTAGAGCAGAACGCCTTTAGGAGTAGGTACAGTATATCTTTATGTCTTACAAAGAACTATCCCCTGGGTATGTTCTTGGATGTGAATGGCCCAAGGTTGCTTCTGCCATGTGAGTTCACCCTCAGGCTCTCACGGGGTTTCCGGGGCCTGCCTCTGGATATCTGTCTATCTTGTGTTTGCTTGGAGGCAACACGGGGGGTGAAATTACCGCTGTCTGCCTAGTTGGAGTGAATCCTGTGACTCTAGTTAACAATACTATATTGTACACTTGAAAGTTTCAAAGGGAGTAGATCTTAAATGTTCGTACCAAAAAAAAAAAAAAAAGAATAAAAAGGTAACTACGTACATAGGCGATAGATGTGCTAACTGACCTTATGTGGTCATCATTTCTTAACACATCTGTATAGCAAATCATCATGTCGTACATCTTAAACTTACACAATGTTATATGTCAATCACACCTTAATAAAATGGGGGAAAAAGAGAAAAGTTCCTTTCCCCAGAATGCCTCTCACTTGCTTGAGAATTCCCCTAGTAATGGGCAATTTATTAAAAACTATGTTCCCTGAAAACTAGTAAGGGGCAAAGAATTCATGCCCAGTTAAAACATAAGAGGGCATAAGTAATAGTCAACTCTTTCTTGAGCATGTAGGGATTGAAATGTCCAGTGGGACATGAATTAGGGGACTCAAAGCAGGAGCTGGTCCCTTTAGGGAGGCAAATGATGAAGGGAGACAAGAGAGAGGCACTGAGAAAATCCTCTGGTACAGCTCTCCTTATGCTGATATAAACTTTAAATGGCTTAAAGTTTTAAGAAAAATCTCCCATTTTGGGTGACTTTTGAGGGCTGATTATCTCTTGTAAATGTTCGTGTGAGAATCCTTTTTGATCAGCCACTGTTGTGGAGGGTCAACATTATTCCTTGCTGACAAAATTTATATGATCAAAGCTAACGAATGATTCATTTAAAAAAAATAAATTAAAGCCCTAACCGGTTTGGCTCAGTGGATAGAGCATCGGCCTGTGGACTCAAGGGTCCCGGGTTCGATTCCGGTCAAGGGCATGTACCTTGGTTGCGGGCACATCCCCAGTGGGGAGTGTGCAGGAGGCAGCTGATCAATGTTTCTCTCTCATGGATGTTTCTAACTCTCTATCCCTCTCCCTTCCTCTCTGTAAAAAATCAATAAAATATATTAAAAAAAATAAATTAGAGCAGATTCAAAATATGAGGGAGATGGGTGGGACAACAGATCTGGGGCTGGAACTGTGCAAACCCCACATCCTACTTGGTCTTGGCCTAATCCCATCATCCCATCAGGCTCCCTGGGATTCATCATTTGGTCATGTACCCCGAAGTCTTTACCTTTGCATTCATTAGTCTTTCTTTTATAGTAAGTTCTTGCTGGACAGTTGCCCAAGCACTGCCCGTCATAGAGAACGGAGAAGTACTTAGCACAGAGGTTGCAGTTGTCTGCTGAGGGGCCGCTGCACTCCAGACAGTCTTTGTGGCAGGGGAGGCATTGGTGGGCGTCTTCATCCTTATAGAACTGCTGGGGACAGGACTGATGGCACATATCCTCATGTAGGAAGAAGGCAGGCATGCATTCTGGGGGTAGGGAAACAGCAGTTATTCCCAGGGAGACAGGAGAAAGGAATTCCTTCCATAGTGGCTAGCCCATCCTCCACCACTTTGCCTCATTTGACCTGAGTGTACACTTGCCCCATCTCCACCCAGCCAGGGCACATCATCCGTGTCCCCAAAGCCTTGACTTTGGATTGGAGACCACATATGGAGACCTGTTTAGATGGTGCTTAGTTTCTATCCTGAAATGATCTGCCCCTTGGAGGTGCAAAAAATTGTAATGCTGTGGCAGATATGTGATGGCCGAGACCCTGGAGGTACTGTTCCAAAAGCCCAGAAAGCATTAAAATTTTCCAAGCTGTATCCAGCACCTCAGGCTTTATTTTTACAAAGCAGTATAGGAACTCTTGGATAAGGTAATTTTTCACTCACTGATAGGGTAGACTAATGAAATATACATGGATAGTCAGTATGAAGAATGCATTGTGGGTTTGTGTTCGTTCTCTTATTTCAGGGGGGAAGGAAATTCTGGAAAACACTTTGGATAGGATAGCACCAATTAAATGAGTCTGTCTTGTTCTGGAGAGGAAATCAGCATTTCTTGGAAGATAATTCCAGAGAAAACAATTCCTTGCCAGAATGCTATTCTTAGAATTAACAATACTGAACAGTACTGTACATGGGTATGGACAAAATCATACAAAAGGTTCTCTTGTCTGTGTTAACTTGCAGAATCCAAAATGGAAAGGCTTTACCTCACCCTCACTTTTGTCAGTGACATGCACAGAGGTTGATAAATTTTAGTGAAGGTTCCCCCAGTTCTGCTTGAACATCCCACCCTCAGCTGGTTGGCCCCCAGCTGGGGTAGCCCGGTAGAGCCACACTCTCCCATGGGATGCTCCCAGGTACCTTTGCAGGTTTTCTCATGGATGCACTCCTGACACATCTCTGGGCAATGCTTGCACACCCCCTCCACGGCCACATGCCTCTCAGAGCAGGTTTCCTGGCACACTCCCTGGTCCAGGACAAGGCCCCCTTCACAAGCTTGGCAGTTGGTGGCATTTCCTTCACATTTTCTGCAAGGGGAGCTACAGCGTTTGCATATGCCTTCTTCTGCATAGAAGCCCCTGTGGGGAGAAGCGAGAGCTACTGGGGAAGCCTTCCAAGCAGGAAAATGATTCACACCTGGTGACAAAGAAGTTAGGGCTGAAAACGAAGGACTGCTGCTCATGTCGGCCAAAATGAATTAATCAGATTTCCTGAGGAAGTATGGTAAAAAATCAAGTCTGGAAAAATAAAATAAAAGGGGTAGATATCACCCTTGTGAATTTGGTTTGTTTGAAAACAGCTTTGTTTAATTTGTATAAACTTTAGTCATCTGATTTCCCTATTTTAATCTCTGACTTCAATTTCTTTTTTCTTGTTAGAGCCTTATGTTAGAGCAGAAAATGCTGTCTGTTCAGTTAATACATTTTTTAAAATAAAAATTCAATTTAGCAAATTCAAAAAAATGACTTTTAAAAGGCTCAAAAGATTTACTACCCTTAATATTGGAAGCATTTTTGCTTTTGGATGTTCCCAGCCAACCATTGATGGCTTTTTTGAACACACTCACATAACATTTGCATACAGCACCAAACATTTGGAGCACTGCTATTGGAGTATATCATATTTTTCCGTGTATAAGATGCCACCATGTACAAGACGCCCCCCACTTTTCCAACTCAAAATTAAGAAATCAATATTTTAAACATAAAACAAAATACATTTTTATTTAGTAACTAGAGGCCTGGTGCGTGAAATTTATGCAGGAGGCGGGGCGGGGGGGTCCCTCAGCCAGGCCTGCACCCTCTCGCAATCCGGACCCCTCAGGGAATGTCCGACTGTTGGTTTAGGCCTGTGTTCAGCAAACTGCAGCTCGCGAGCCACATGCGGCTCTTTGGCCCCTTGAGTGTGGCTCTTCCACAAAATACCACGTGCGGGCGCGCATACAGAGCGATTGAAACTTCGTGGCCCATGCGCATTAGTCAGTTTTCGGCCTGGGCGAGTCTATTTTGAAGAAGTACTGTTGATATTTGGCTCTGTTGACGAATGAGTTTGCCGACCCCTGGTTTAGGCCCATCCCTCTCGCAATCTGGGACCGCTGGCTCCTAACTGCTCACCTGCCTGCCTGCCTTATCACCCCTAACCACCTCTGCCTGCCTGCCTGATCGCCCCTAACTGCCTCTGCCTGCCTGCCTGATCACCCCTAACTGCTCACCTGCCTGCCTGATCGCCCCTAACTGCCTCTGCCTGCCTGCCTGATCACCCCTAACTGCTCACCTGCCTGCCTGATCGCCCCTAACTGCCTCTGCCTCGGCCCCCGCCGCCACAGCTTCGTCAGGAAGGACGTCCGAAATGATGTCTGGAAGGTCGTTCGGCTGTCCTGTCTAATTAGCATGTTATGCTTTTATTATCATAGATTACTGGTATGTTCACATACCAGTACTATATTATGCAGCATATCACTTTATTCAGCTCTGTTGCATCACTGCTCTCTTCTTCATCACTATTAGTTCCAGACATATCAACTTCTTCAACTTCTATTGTATCACTGCTGTCTTCTGAGACACTGTCTATATATGTGAGATCATCTTCAGTTCCGTCCATGGCATTGCTGATTCCACATTTCTTGAAGGACTTCACAATCACCTCTTGTTTGATGCTATACCATGAGTTTAGGACCCAATTGCAGACCTCAGTGATGGTTGTTTTTTTCCACCCTTCCTGTCGGTGTCAAGTTATCTGTTTTTTGCATCCATCTACTCCATTCTCATCTCATCAAGCCTTTAAATGACTTGATTGAAACATCTAGTGGCTGTAGCTGACCTGCAAGTCCACCAGGAATATCTGCTAGATGTATTTGCAAATCTGACGCAACCCTTTTTGTCTTTTCTGTTAAATGTGCTCAGAACTGATTAAAGACAGGTAGGACAGGCTTCTTTAAGAGCCCCCCCCCCCGCCCCCCCCAGGTCTTCTGGACCAAACCTTTGCAAACCAAATGGCCATAATGTCTTCATTCATCCATCCCTTCTCTTGAACTTGCACAATAATGCCAGGTGGTATGGTCTCTTTAGGATACATTTTCTGCTTAAAGATAAGCATAGGAGGCAGTTTAGTAGCATCTGCACAGCATGAAAGCACAGCACTATAGTGTGTCTTTTCATGGCCACTTGTTTTGATTGTCACTGTTTTGATTCCTCTCACATCTACAGTTTTGTTGGAAGCCACGTCAAAATTGAGAGGCATCTCATCTGTGTTTGCAATCTGATTTGGCTTGACTTGGTTCAAAATCATTTTTTTCTGCAGTTGTATGACATAGGAGTGAAACTGTTGGATTTTATCCTCATAAACTGGTGGCATTTTCTGAGCTAACTTGTTTGTGTCCTCATGGCCAACCCTTCTCTCCTCATGTAATTGAAGCAGCATTTTGCCTTTACTCTAAAATCAACAATGTTCATTTCATTCACAATGTCATTTTCTTGCCTGACATTGAATAAGCTTGGTTGACACACATAAGCCACTCTGGCGCTGCTCCATAATCCAAGTCTTAAGTCTCTGCTCCAAGTTAACCCATTTTGCTGGTTTTCCTCTTAAGGCCTTCTTTTTTGGCATTTTAAGGAGTTGTTCTTCCTGTTTTCTCCACTGTCTGATCATACACTCAGTGGGAGGAGGTCCAAATTGTCTCTCTGCAGCTCTATTTCCATGCTCTTTTGCATATCTAATTACATTCAGTTTGAATTTTGCAGAGTAAAGACAATCGCTTACCAGTATTTATCTTTTTATTTCTTTATATCTTTATGGGCTCAGAATGCTCAGGTCTCTGTTGCATCTGTGCACTTTCCACCTTAACCTCCAATTACGGCATCAGCTGACGTCAGTAACAACAAGGATCATGATTGGAGGAAGCCTGTTTGACAAGGTATGGGCAGCTATGCACCCACGCAGCTCCCTGCGTGGCTGACTTCTGTGTATAAGATGCTCCTTGATTTTCAGCCTAACGATTTTAGAAAAAAAATAGCATCTTATACATGGAAAAATATGGCATGTTGTGTGGTTGACTTCTTCCAGGTAGAATCTGATGTCTGTATATTCATTGTACCTCTGAATGATTTAACTATCACACCGTAGAAATCACTAATTTCTTGTATATATTTAGTAAACAAAAATATATTGAATTTGTCAGGAAGAAATAGGATGGAGCAAAGAAAAGTCACATTTCTAATGTAGTATCAAGAAAGAAAAATGTAAGAAAGCAATTTAGGTCCAAGAGGGGAAACTAAATATCATTCATCTGAAAGATCAGGCTTCCTCACACATTTTGGACCATGATGGAGAGCACTGGGAGAACAAAGACACTGCTATTTTGTCCAGCCCAGTCAATCTCTTAAAAATAAATTTGGCCCTGGCCCATGTTGCCCAGTGGTTGGATCCTCTGCCTGTGCATCGAGAGGTCTCGGGTTTGAGTCCCCTTCAAGGACCCGTACTGGTTGGGGCTTGTATGGGAGGCAGCCAGTCGATGTGTCTCTCACCTCTCCTCTCTCTCTCTCTCTCTCTCTCTCTCTCTCTTTTTTTCCCTTTTCCCCTTCCACTCTTTCTGAAAAGTAATGGAAGAAATATTCTCAGGTGAGGACTAACAAAAAAAATAAAAATGAATTTGATAAGACAGTGGATAGAAATGTATTATATGTTTACCAAGAGTTTGATTGAACTTGAGAAATTTGAAATTAAGGGAATTTAGTGCATTCTTAAACATATCACATCTTCTACGTGAATGAGAATGTGATGGGATCATTGTTGCTGTGTAGTGAAGAACTTGGCCTCACCCAAAGAGAGGTCTGGCCTGTGTTCCTAGCCAGCTTCTAAACTCTTGGAATTTCCCAAGTGGTAAGAATGTCCTTGTTATTCATTGTGGACCCCTCCAACCACACCTGATAGTTGATGCTAACAAAATTAGTCAGGGTGGGGCTGGCCACACCCTCTAGATTTAGTGTGGGGATTGGCTTAGCCAGAAAGAGCAACCTGTGTTTAGAGATTGGGGACTTCGGACCGGTGATTCCGGGGAGTTTTTAATGCTGGTCCTGATCGAGTTTTCTCAGGAATAGTCTCTGGACACTGACGATGAGCAATTCCAGCACAGAATTTGGAAAGATGCAGCACAAAGAAAACATTTTCAGATTTTTGTCATAAGGGCATCAGTGGAAGTCGGGTGAGATGCTGAAAAGAAAGGGATGGATTCAAGCAAAAAAGAAAAAACAAACAAACAACAACTCATTGGAGACTACTGCTAACTCAAAAAAACACTAATCTCAGGAACTTGTCGGGAGGCAGGCAGATGACAATGTGAAAAGGTGTTTTTCAAAGAGCCACTTTGCCAAACGCAGTTTTCTCCACACAGATCTGCCCAGTAATTTGTCCTGTCTTCTCCCTGCATTCACAAAACTTAGTTGTGAATGCTCTATTTCACTGTTATTTTTATTTAAGAAGACAGATGCTTCATTTTAGAAGAAATGGCCACCTGTATTAAATTGCTACATTCAGAGTACTTTTATGGTGAAGTCTTTCGGCTCAGATAAATATACATAATGCGAAAGCTGTGTGGTTTGGAGCTTCGCCTATATTTTAGACACCTGAGACAGTGACAAGGTCTAAAGGAAGACCCCCTTTTTCAACCAGAGCTTCACATCTGTTCATATTTGGTAAATATGAGCACACCTTAGGTTTTGTGTTGCCTTTTAAATAATCACTATAATGATGTATGTTACTACTCAGACTTTCTTCTTTCATGAATATATACTATACAGTGGCCACTAATGCTGACTTATAAATAATTCTGAATACCTGGATGCCGTTTCATTGCAAATTGTGTGCCTGTCATAAATCTTATTGCTGTTTTAGGATGGATTATACCCCAAAGGGCGATTTCTCAGAAATAGTAACAACTTGAAAGTACTATGTTGTAGAAAGGACCAATCATAACAGATCACATTTTATAGCATTCTGTTTATATGAAATGTTCAAGAACAGGCAAATCTGTAGAGACAGGAAGTAAATTAGTGATTGCTTAGGGCTGGGGATATTGGGAGTAACTGCTAAAAGGGTACAGAGTTTTCTTTTGGGGGATGATGGACATATTTTAAAATCAATTGTAATGATCGCACAACTGTATAAATATATGTAACACCATTGCATTGTATGTACACTTTATATAGGTAATTGTGTGGCATGTGAATTGTATCTCAATAAAGTTGCTATTAAAAAAAAAAAAGGAACCCCAGTCATTTGAGAACATGGCATTGTGCAATGGTGAAACATGGACCTCAGGGCTCGAGAGGTTTGGGGTGGGACCCTTACCATATCATGCATTAGTTGTGTGATATTGGGCATGTTTACCCCTTTCCTCATCTGTAAATGAGGAAAAATAATAGTATCTGGATAAGAAGATTCATGTGAGGGTTAATGGATCATATTTGAAATGCTTAGTGCAGTGCTTAGACTTTACCAACACTCATCAAGCAGCTGTTTTTATATGGTTTCTTTTTCCTTGGAATTTCTTAGCCCTTTTTGTATTTAGGCTCTGAGAAGTATGGCAGTAATCGTTGTAAACGTCCCCTATGGGTTGTAGGCCCTTTTCAGGCTCAGACGTCTCTTAACATAGCTTCCAGTATCAATTCTTACACACCCAAAAGGTGCTAAATATGGATCTGCAGTATTGAGTCGAATGCAATTGGCTCTATACTATACTAGATTGGAAGCTTCTTGAGGGTATCATGACTTGTATTTGGACCCTATATGGTCTGTCTCAGTAATGGATACAAGTTGGTCATTAGGAAATAGGTATTGTTTTTATCACCAAGTTCTTTTAATCAGCAGGCAAATGAAATTTCTGATTCTCTAAAATAGATTCTGTTGGTTGCCTCCCCAAACTCACTTCTTGCCTCCCTCTCCAGTCTTCCTGGCTGCCCGTGTTCCGATTTTATTTGGGTTTTCAAGGGTGAGTCTTGTTCAGCCTAAAGTGATCCTTTTATTTCCATTCTCCCTGCCAGTGATGTAAGCTGTAAGTGGTGCATTCTGGCTAATGAGATGTGAAGGGAAGTCTGAGGAAGTTTTCTTTCCTCTTGAAAAAAGATAAACTAGGAGAATCCTGCCCTTTTCTCTCTCTGGTTGCTGCAATGGCGGTGGTGATGTGTGCAGATGGGGCAGACAACGTGGCTCAGGGGAGGACAAGCTAAGGAAGATACAAGAGCAAAATGGAAAGATAGTGGGTTTTTAATGAAGTATTGGCCACTGGATTGCTAAACCCTGTATTGTTTCAGTCAGTCTGCTTGGCATTTCTGTTGCTTGTCACTGGAAGTTTCCTGATATACCTTCCCATTTGCTATTCCTACTTCTCTTTTAGTTACATCCTGGAGGTGGGAGCATTCGTAGGAGGAGAAAAGGATTTATAAACCAGGGGGCTGGAAAAGCCGTCAGTAAATACTTCACCAGGTATTTTCTTTATTATCTTTGATTCAGATCTCACCTAACTTTTTTAAAAGTTTATTTTAAAAATATTTTTATTGATTTCAGAGAGGAAGGAAAAAGGAAGAGAGAGAGAGAGATAGAAACATCAGTGATGAGAGAGAATCATTGATTGGCTGCCTTTTGCATGCCCCCTACTGGGGATTGAACCTGCATCTCGGGCATGTGCCCTGACTGGGAATTGAACCGTGACCTCCTGGTTCATAGGTCGATGCTCAACCACTGAGTCATACCGGCTGGGCAGATCTCACCTATTTTAAACAGAAGAGTTTCTTGTGTTCCACAGCCTTACTTTTGTGATGGCGAAAAGACAGCTACTTGATCATAAATAAAAGGTGGGGAAAAAACATAATTTTACAAAAGTAAAAATATATACATATAATCATCACAAGAGAGAAGTGGGCATCTGGCGTTAAGTTTTGGCTGCTGTGGCCAATGGTGATGTTGGACAGTCAAAAGGGAGGGACACTGGTAGGTGCTGTAACCCGGGAGGGAAGAGTTCTTTGGTGATAGGAAGGAATCATATCCAAATTACTGTAGGAAAATGAACACAAGCAGGAAGTGAAAGGAAAGGAGACTTACTCAGGGCACCCGGTGTAGCACCTGCCTTCGTGGAGGAAGAGAGGGTGTTCCAGCTGCGTCTGGCACTTGTCACAGAGATCGGCTCCAGAGCAGGAGGCACAGGCCTCTGTACAGTTCTCACAGCTGCCACTCCTCACTGAGGGCCACGTGCCTTCGGGACAGGCGGCGACGCAGGCCTGAGCCAACAGATACGTGCCTGGAAACCCAGGGAAGAAGGCAGATCAGGTGGTCGGTCAGTATGTGTCCCTCTGACAGTGTGAACATCCTTGCAGAGAACTGGCGCTCGCAGCAGCTTTTTAAACTGTCCCAAAGATCCAAGTATCTCAGACTTATCAAAAGGATGAGTTAAATCTCCAGACAGGAAATTGACAGCAGGAGGCTTTGGCCCTGTTTCTTTTACTTCCTACTGATACTGATGCGGGTCACTTTGGGGCTTCCCTCTGCCTGGTTGATCGATCTATTAACACCTTTGCCTGTCTTCCTGGTGTAAGACAGTTACACACGCACAGCTTGGTGGAGTCTATTTGGCTTCCCAAAGCCTATCCCATTAGGACACTAACATAGTAGCAACTCTCCCACCCAACGGATGGTCCATCTGTTTATTTTTAATTGAAAAAATCAGATAGCAGCATTATTAAAGAAAACAATTTAAAAATCACCCTCAACTTCAGAATTCCAAGACAATTCCTTCAATTTTTGTATGCAAACTTTCCTATTTTGTTGGAGTAGAGTCATGGCACACATACCATTTTAAATTCTGTTGCTTTTGTGTCACATCGCACTGTTAAAGTTGTACATTCCAACATCATAATCACTTTAATGAGAACATAACATTCTTAATTTTTAATGTTAGTGCATCATGTTAATAAAATATCTCCCTAATTCAGGGAAGTTGTTATTTCTGATGTTTTGTTTTTATAGATGATGAAGCAATTAATTTGTTAAGCTGTTACGTATTGCTCTTGTGTTTTTGCTTCCCTAAATTCAGCACCAGAAATGAAGAAACAATAGGCAGACTACTTATCCCCACCTAGATTGTCCACTGTAAGTTCTCTTGTTTTGGCTAATGCACTCCAAAACAGCAGGGGAACCCCTAGAAATGTCAAGTACCCAAAGACCTAACAAATTCTGTGGCCAAAGCAGTTGCTAACTTCATCATGCTTTTGGATAAAAAAACATTTCTTTTTCATTTTGGTCCTTTGAGAGCCATTTTTTATTGTAAATCCATGTTTGGGTGCCTTGTTGCTCCAGAGTAGCCACTGTAATAGGAACATGTGATGGGACTAGATCAAGTCCTGCAAACCCCTTACTTAAAGATGCTAATATACAGGAGTTGCCATGAATTGGCTTGATCACTGCCACCTCCTGTCACACTCCACACTAACCTTTCGGACACGAAGTGCACAGCCTTTCAGATCCATTGCAGGTTTTACAAGAGGAATGACAAGGCTGCTGTTTTCTTAAAACGTCTATGGAAGGAAAAGGAACAAGAAGTCAGTTTCTGTTGAGCAGGTTCATAGTATTGGAAAAGATCTCATGGGCAATCTTGTCTCCTTTCCCACCCCAAATAGATTTTGCCTTAGCTAAATGTTGGCGCCAGCTTTGGCCTACCAAATGAGTGAATGTGGACTTCATTTTTTTCTTATTCTTACTCTTTCATTGACAATTGATTGCCAAGACTTTCTTTGCAGACTTTCAGAGACAGGATAGCCTTTAATGCTAAGGAGACATTTGAACTAACAAATGTTATTTATTTATTTATTTATTTATTTATTTATTTGGTTTTGTTAATCCTCACCTGAGGATATTTTTTCCATTGATTTTTTTAGAGAGAGTGGAGGGAGCGTATTGACACGGAGAGAGAAACATCCATGTGAGAGAGATACGTCGATTGGTTGCCTCCCTCATGCACCCCAACTGAGGCGGGGGATTGAGCCTGCAACCCAGGTACGTGCTCTTGACTGGAATCAAACCTGAGACCCTTCAGTCTGCAGGCCAACACTCTAACAACTGAGCAAACCAGCTATTAAAAATGTGTGGGGGTGAGTGTTTGTGTGCTTGTGTGTATACACACAGGAATGAGTTATTTCCCCGTGATTCTTAAATGGCCAGTTCTCTTCACTTCAAATGATAAAATAAGAATTCATTGTGTCTTTCATGAAAAACTTATTTTTGTTGTTGTTGTTCTTTGGAACCAGATTTCATAGTTGGTCAGTGTTTGGGTCTGTGTTCTTCAGAGTAGCCATGGTTGAATGCAGCCTAAATTTATTCACCTTAAATTAGTTCCAAATCATCTTATCACCAAACTGGAGCCACCCAAAAGCTTTCTGGTTGGTCAGGTGATAAGCAGGCCAACCAAGGAAACATTAGCGCTGTTTCCCCTCTCTCTTTCCCTCCAAGAGCATTTGATGGGCAGGCTTTTAAAGAAAGTTTCAAAGACATACATAAGCCCTGGCTGGTGTGGCTCAGTTGGTTGGGCATTATCCCATGCACCAAAAGGTTTCTGGTTCAATTCCTGATCAGGGAACATGCCTGGGTTTCTGGCTCGATCCCCAGTAGGGGGCTTGCAGGAGGCAGTTCACAGATGTTCCACTCTCACATCGATGTCTCTCTCACTCTTCCTTCCCCTCTATCTAAAAATCAACTTTAAAAAATCTTAAAAACAACAACAACAAAACAGACATACATAGTGAACTCAAGGACATCATTCAATCAATAGACATTGAGATCATGACTAAATTTCAGTAATTGTTCAGGAATCAGCATGACTGACACAGGAAAATTAGAAAAAGTTCTAGTTCAGAATGTGTCATATGAATGACTCTGACCTTCAGTCAACTGTTATGTTGGCATCTTGCCATTCCCCTCTCTTCTTTCTTTTCTTCCTCCCTCTCTCCCTTTCTTCCTTCCTCTCTCTTATAGTGCCTTCTCTTTCTGAGATTCAGTCTGGTGGAGTTGGCTCTTTAGTCACACCTGCCTTCAGATCCCAGATGTGCTGCTCAGGTAGGGTAACCATGGATACAATAATTAAACTCTCAGAGCCCTACTTTTCCACGTCTCTAAAATGAGAGTGATCCTTCCCTGATAGGACTGTAGTGAAGACTAAATGAGATAATGTGTGTAGAGTGCACACAGCAGCTCAGTAAATGGTAGCTCATCACCTCCTTTCTCCACTCTCCTGATTTCCTTGTTATCATTCCGCCACATTCCCTCTCTTGGTCTTTTATTCTATAGCTGGCGTGGCACCAGAGGCATGGCTTGGTTTCCATGATGGCGCTCATGGTTAATTAGCTGGTGAGCCTTGCTACAGAGAAAGCTAGATTCAAAGGTAGGTAGGTGGATATGGATGTAGATATAGAGATATACATGATTGTCCATCCTGCCATCCTGAGTGGCAGTCTTTTTCCTAGTTTAGAGAGAAAAACTTGCCCTGGTTTTCCAGTAGACTGACTGAGTCCTTGAGAGAGGGGTGTGTGTGTGTGTGTGTGTGTGTGTGTGTGTGTGTGTGAGAGAGAGAGAGAGAGAGAGAGAGAGAGAGAGAGAGAGGGAGAGAGAGAAGAGCTCAATTAGCCCTGTGCAGAGCAGTGCTAGTCACAGGATTTTCACAAAAGTAATCCACATGATTTAACATGATTGAGTCTTTTCCCTGAAGGCCCTTTTAATTTGACAAATCACTTAAACCAAAAAAAAGAGGGCAGCAGAGAGATGAGCAACAGTTTTGTTGCTAACATCACTTTTGACTAATCAACAGAGAAATGCAAATCAAAATCACAGAGAGCTCTCACTCCCGTTAGAATGGATCTTACGAAAGAGACAAGAGACATGTGCTGGTGAGACATGTGGAGAAAGGGGACATCCCATGGACTGTTGGTGGGAATATAAATTGGTGCAGCCACTATGGAAAATAGTATGACGGTTCCTCAAAAAATTAAAAATAGAACTACCCTATGATCCAGCAATCCCACTTCTGGGTATTTACCCAAAGGAAATGAAATCATTATCTCAAAGAGATAACTGCACACAGTGTTCATTGCAGCATTATTTACAATAGCCGTGACATGGAAACAGTCCAGATGTTCATCAATGGATGAATGGATAAAGAAGATATGGGATATATAGGGTTCGACAAAAGTAGGTTTACAGTTGTGAGTACATGAAACAGTTTATTCTTGTATTATTAATTATTAATTATTGTATTATTTTCCATATGAACAACTGTAAGACAAGTTTTGACCCACCCTGTATATGCAATGGATATATTCATCCATAAAAAGAGGGAAACCCTGCCATAGGACATTATGCTAAGAGAAATACAGAAAAAGACAAAGACTCTATGATCTCATATGTAGAATCTTAAAAAACCAAACTCATTTAAACAGAGTAGATTGGTGTTGCCAGGGGCTGGGGTACTGGGGTGGTGGTGAGGGAATGGATGAAGGTGGTCAAAGGGTACAAACTTTCAGTTATAAGATGAATCAATTCTTGGAATGTGATGTACAGCATGGTGACTATAATTAATAATACTGTATTGGATAATTGAAAATTGCTAAGAGAGTAGATCCTAAAAATTCTCATCACAAAAAAGGTAACTATGGAGGTGATGGATGTGCTAACTAATCTTACTGTGGAGATCATTTTGCAGTATATACATATGTCAATTATCATGTTATACCCATTGAAACAGCATCATATGTTAATTATATCTCAATGAAAGGGGGGAAAAGAAAGGCTTCATTAGTGGCTGAGAGCAATTATTCATAAAAAAATATTTGTCAGACATTGAGAACCTTGAAAATATTTAATATATGTCCAGGCCATGGGCTGATTTTCTTTTGATTTTATCATTAAAAACATTTTTTATTTTTTTGTTAATGCTCCCCCGAGGATATTTTTCCATTGATTTTTAGGGAGAGTGGAAGAGAGAGGGAAAGACAGAGAGAAACATTGGCTAAAATGTTATAGTTACAAAGATATGAGTTTTTACTAATTTTTAAAATATTTGTTTAAAATATTGTGCATATATCTACACATACACATGCATTTACAATGACATATTTCACTTCCTGGCAATTTGCTATTTTACTGTGATACACTTGGTATACAATTTTTGGTAATGTCCTCATGCCTCCACTAGAGGGTACTCTGTACACACACTTAACAGCAATTAAGCCTGGGCAAAGATTAGTGACTTAATCTCAACAAGAAAATTTTAACCTTGACCATAGTTTCTCTTTTTCTCTCTCTCTCTCTCTCTCTCTCTTTTTTTTTTTGTTCTCCAGTGATTCTAGCTTTATGGGACCTCGAAAACAAAAATCACCTTGACCAAGAAAATGTAGCGTCCATCCTTCAAAAATAATTGTAGTTCGACCACATAAAACAGGGGTTCTGGGTATTTTACTAAATAAGCAATACATGGTTCAAAATGTACAAAAAGCATACATCATGAAGCCTCCCTCCTAATCCATTTTCACCCTTTTTATACAAACTATATCTACTCACACTATTTATCGTGTTGCCTTTTCCTTTTTTTGGTAACTGAATATATTTTAGAGGCCATTCTTTATCAGCACCTAACGAACCTCCTCATTCTTGTTCCTAGCTCCACAGCATTCCATTGCATGGATGTGTCCTACTTCATTTTCCTAATCTCCTATTGTAACCATCTAGTTTTTTCTCAGTCGTTGCTATTTCAAACCATGCTGCAGTAACGAAGGAAGTAAAAGGTGAGGCTTTTCTTGATAGCCCCCCCCCCCCCCCCCCCCCCCCCCCA